ATGAGGAGAGGCTACGGGACCTGAACCTGTTCAGCCTCCAAAAGAGAAGGCTGAGAGGGGATCTTGTGGCCTGTTATAAACTAGTCAGAGGGATCAGCAGGCATTGGGGGAGTCCCTGTTCCCCCGAGCACCACCAGGAGTGACCAGGAATAACAGTCACAAGCTGGCGGAGGGAAGGTTTAAGTTGGACATCAGGAGGCGCTACTTCATGGTCAGGGCGGCTAGGGTCTGGAACCAACTTCCAAGAGAGGCGGTGCAGGCTCCCACCCTGGGGGTTTTTAAGAGGAGGTTAGATGAACACCTTGCTGGGGTCATTTGACCCCAGTACTCTTTCCTGCCATGGCAGGGGGTCAGACTAGATGATCTGCTCAGGTCCCTTCTGACCCTAGAAACTATGAAACTTGCCCTTAGAATCACTTTTACAACAGGCTTGAGGTATCAAGCCAGATTTGCCTTCAGTTGAACAACAGCTTTAAATACTATCCAAGCTGACAGCTGCTGTGCCTACTGCCTATACATATTTTACTAACCTAGAATTTTATGAACAAGAGTTAGTTCTCAGGAGCCCAACATGTAAGCTGTTCATCTTTCAGGGAGACATGAGGTGCTGTCCATCATCACAACAGAAATATTCCATTGGAAGATCAGCTACAATTGCAATTCTTTACACATAGGGGGGGTTGAGGGTACAGATCCACATAACTGAACCATTCCAGAATGTTACAAAATGGAACCACTCACAATTGTGCATAAAATGCTGTGGTTCAGGAGTGAACACCCATCCAAGCAGACCTCACAGTGGGCTAGTGGGACAGAATGCTTGTACTTGTGCAGGTCCTGTAACAAGAGAGCCAATGGCTCCTGTTATTTTAAGGGTGAAGGAGCAGCAGGGAGAGCTTCAGGCTTATTACAAGCCAACAGGGACCAGGTATCCAAGGATTTACCCACTACAAGTACTTACTGAAGAACTAGCTGTGTTGCAGTGGCACAAGGGGATAAGAGCCCTGCATGGAAGATGAGATATTGTTCCAGCAGAGACCAGCAGCAACAAGCCACCCTGGGGTTGAGCCAGAAAGCTAACACAGGAAACATCTGCAGCAGGGCAGGACCAGGAGAGGCAGCCTGGCCCTGGGAGCTGGAGAGGCAAGAGCTCCAATCTGGCACTAGGGGCTATCTTGAAGAAGGCAAACAGAGTGCTGCTGCCTACAGAGAAACATCACCTCGGGTAAGGGGAAGCCTTATAATGCAGGCAGTTAGCCACTGTTTCTGTTTGGACCCAGAGGGGGCTTAGTTTGTATTCTAGCCAGAAGACCTACTCCTTGGTTACAGCTTCAATCTGTGGCTTGGGCACGACTAAAAGAGGAGTGTGTAGAGGCCATGGAAGGGATCCTAAGAGGTGCAGGGTGGTTTAACCCACAGTAAGGTACCAGGGGCATGCCAGTTGTTAGATGCCAGCTATGGGCCTTGATTCAGGGCATACTGTAGGCTTAGGCCCAAGAGGAAGTTTGAAGCCTAGAGAGAGGCTAAAGCCTAGCTTGGGCAGGAACTGGACAAGGGACAGGTGGCCCAGTGCCCAGAAAAGGCAATGCCAGGCCAGGGGGTCCTGTGCATGAAAGGGACAGAGACAAGGGCCAGGAGGTCCAAGAACTGAAGCAGGCTCAGCAAGTGTATTACCCAGGACAGGACAACAACAAAGCCAGATTAGGTGGTCAAGGGCTGGAACCCAGAAGCCAGGTCAGTCACAGCGGCCCTGGGCTAAGGGAACGAACAAGAGAAAAGGGTCTGAGGCTCTGATAGGGGTGTTACTGCCTGAGATGACCTGGTAGTGGATTGGGGCCAAGTGCGCACTGGAATTATTAAATTGTAACAGCTGTGAAGCATCAGCACTGCTGTAGGGAAGGCTGGCACTGTGATTAGCCCTTAAGGCTAAGAGATGCCGTGGGGAGGGACACTGATGGGCCATCAAGGCCCACCCAGGAAGGCCAGAGTGGAGACCAGCAGAAGCTCAAACGAACTAGCTGGCATCTAGAGGAACTGGGGCTTATTCTAGGCCTAATTAGGCAGCTTCCATTCCAATCAAACAGTTGCATCAAGGCATGGAAGGCAAGTAAAGGTAGGACATCCTAGAGCTGGAGCAGGGTAAGGGTTACATGGCCACCAGGGCGTGTCTCAGCCACCCCTGGAGCCCAAACATTGCTACAGGTCCCCAGTAGGTGGAGAAGTATTTTCACTTTTCTGCTTTTCCTTCTCCTAAACATGAGCTCAGTAAAAGTGAATAGCTTGCAACTGACCAACATTTGCAGCATTTTTGCCTGACTGTGGAGAGAGAGAAGGTGGAGATGGGAGTACTGGGTCTTGCACTTCTTTGTTCCCAGGGACTGAGGAAGTATGAGGAGAGAACACCGTTGAGGATGCAGCTAGTTGTTAGAAAGATCCAAGCGCAAGGGAACTTATTGATAAAAAGTGCCA